TATATATATATATATATATATATATATATATATATATATATATATATATATATATATATATATATATATATATATATATATATATATATATATATATATATATATATATATATATATATATATATATATATATATATATATATATATATATATATATATATATATATATATATATATATATATATATATATATATATATATATATATATATATATATATATATATATATATATATATATATATATATATATATATATATATATATATATATATATATATATATATATATATATATATATATATATATATATATATATATATATATATATATATATATATATATATATATATATATATATATATATATATATATATATATATATATATATATATATATATATATATATATATATATATATATATATATATATATATATATATATATATATATATATATATATATATATATATATATATATATATATATATATATATATATATATATATATATATATATATATATATATATATATATATATATATATATATATATATATATATATATATATATATATATATATATATATATGGGCCAATTGAAAAAGAGTTATGACATTTATGTGTCCCTAAACTAGAGAGTATGATTTGAGTTCAAATTTTATAAAGAGCTCTTAAAATAGCTTTTGTATGTTTTAGCTAAATTTTAACTAAAAAATAGAGAGCATGATTGTAGATGCTCTAAGGTAAAACTTTGGAAAACAAAAGGTAGTTTGTGTGATGCATTAATGACATTGTTTTGAAAGAAAGTAAAATGCCACATGTCATGAGGAAAATGGACAATGTCCAAAGGAAAAGGTTAGAGAGAAGATTACTAGCATTATGTAATGTATGCTACTGTAAGTTTCGAACCCCACAGAAATAAAGAAGGAAAACTCAAATTCGATTTGTTTTGGCTTAATGACCATGACTATGAACTAATTGCATACCCGTAAAAAATGTAACTAAAGTGAAGCCTCGACAGTGTTTGACGGATCGAAAATCAGAGTTAGAACTAGTCACAAACTTCCAATACTTTTGACATATGAGACATTTATATACTTCAAAAGACTAAAGAAGACTTTTCAATTTTATTTTGTTTTCGGACAATGACCTCTCAATTTTTTGTAATTCATGCTATTTACGGCCTCAATAATTAACTGAGCATGTATATGGCATAATTACCATCAACTCAACTGCATTTTCTTTGTGAGTGACATAAGTCAAGTAGCTCGTCAACAGCATTATCTTTTC